CCCGTTCTCCCGTTCCCCCGTTCTCCCGTTCCCCCGTTCCCCCGTTCTCCCGTTCCCCCGTTCTCCCGTTCCCCCGTTCCCCCGTTCTCCCGTTCCCCCGTTCCCCCGTTCCCCCGTTCCCCGTTCCCCCGTTCTCCCGTTCTCCCGTTCCCCAGTTCTCCCGTTCTCCCGTTCCCCCGTTCCCCCGTTCCCCCGTTCCCCCGTTCCCCCGTTCCCCCGTTCCCCCGTTCCCCCGTTCCCCCGTTCCCCCGTTCCCCCGTTCCCCCGTTCCCCCGTTCCCCCGTTCCCCCGTTCCCCCGTTCCCCGTCTCGGGCGATAATGATAACGGTCCCTAAAATAGAGATGATTTTTGCGGAAAACTGATTGCTCTGTGCTTTCAGCTGCTTATACATGAAAGAGAAAATATTTAGCTATTTAAGATTTGACAGAGTTCGAGAACTAGTGATTATCTACTTTTTTCTCGACAGGGTTATTGGAAAAAAAGGTGTAACCGTCGTCTTAACTGTCTTAAATTAACAATAGCAACACGTACTGTTACGTTGACAGAGTTTGTTCAAATAATATATATTTTCTCCACCAGACAATTCAATAGCCTTGTAAAAAACATTTCCTTGTATTGGGGCACCTTGTAATTTACAACAATATTCTGATATTTTAACAACACCACAACTGTCTAATTATTCCCTTTACTTTTTTTCTCACTTCTCCGATCTTCCAACAGTACAGGACCGGGTTTAGAAAAGAATTCATGAATATCAAAGTCTCTGTAGCCAACTTTGGCACCGCACTGTCACGCATTTTTGTTCCAGCTAATACTCCATAAGGAACATAACACACAAGTAAAGCAAACTGCACCCACAAAATGCTGGACACCGTTTTTTTGTACCTTGCTATGTTCAGCTGATTCCCTAATTCGCTTAGAAATCCTTGGGGGAAGTTGTTTTGTATTTGGGTTTGATGCTGTCGTAACTTAAGGTATATCTTGACGAAAGAGGAAATTGAGGTAATCAGAGACAGCACAATGAAAGTAGCGGATAACTTTTGTCCAACGTCTCTTCTCCAAACCCAAAGCGCCGCAAATAGAGTACCAGTAAACCAAAAAGAAATGACAACATAGCGAATTCGACTGAAGGTTACGACATGTTTGTATCGCATACCCAGCATCAAGGCAAGAAGTCTGTCCACATTGATTGCAGTTGACGTCCAAACAGATACCAAACATATAATGCATGTTAAACCTCCGCCAACTTTAAAAATATAATACAGACTATTCGTGTTCATCTCTCTTACATGGAGCATAAAGTAGACGCAGAATAGTGGTTGTACAATAAAACCAACGCAAAGATCAGTCATCGCCAAGCACTGAAAGAGGAGTTTTGTCGGCGGATGAATAGAAGTCACTCGCCGGAGAGCGAAGAGGATAAGAACATTGCCAAGAAATGCCGTGAAAGCAAGAAAAATGTTCAGACCTGAGAAAAATTCTACTACACCTGTTGGAGTGTTGCTGACAGATTGACTTAGCTTCACCACTTGGTCTATATTTCTAGAACTGCTGGCCATTATGGTTTGGTTAAATCATCTGTTATCACGTGATGCTTGTTCGGCGTTCTTCAGTAGCGTATGGACGATTTTTTCACGTTGGGAGAATAATTCAGTCAACTGTATTTAATGATTTGGGGGTATTTGGTACCCATATCTGGCATGATCGCCGCTTTTTATCTACTTTATTTTGTGAATGCAATCATTTGAATCTGTCAGCGTGTAAGCGCGTTTTCATACGTGATCGAATAGGCAGTCACTCTCTTGGAAATGGAGATACTTCCTTATCTGTAATAATCAAGATATAAAGTTTCTTTTCATTAAAACCCTAACAGATCTAGGAACGCCTGTATCACATGTAACGTAGCACCCCAAGGTAGTCATTAGTTAAGCTAATAGAACAGGCGAACGTCACATTTGCATGTTTACTGGTATTTGAATCGTGTACTCTTCGTGACAGGTCAGCACGTATTTTGTGATTAATTTAATTTGTGTGCCACTATCGTCTTTTCTATTTGTATATAGGTAATTAAGTCAATGTCCTAAAGGATGTCCGGCTGTACTTTGAACTTCGGCTTTAATTGATTTTAGCTAATAAAAGTTTAATTTTATCTCCATTTTGTCTCAATAAGACAAGATTTACTGAAAATGGTTCTTACACTTCTAGCTCGAAAAATGGTATCCTCAATCAAATCCCATCCAAAAAAAAAATTCAAAATTTTAGGGGTGCATGCTTTGGACTTAAGAATCTGTCTAGAATTCCAAACCCTAAAAGTTGCATATAACAGTCGAGTGAAGTCTTTAGATGCAGTGTTTCAAGCCGGTTTTAACGGAAAATTTAACATTGGTTCATTAATTATTAAACGTTGGTTCCACCTACTGGAAAAGATTTTTATGTACTGAAATTGATGAGGTCTCAATTCGTAACTATACTGAGTTTAAAGATCAACTTAAATTTCTAAAAGCAGTGAATGCATAGAAAAATTTTCACCTTCTGTAAGAGAACCACACACTTGATTTTCTTTATTTTCATACTGAAATGTGTGCAATTACTGCTTAAACAATTGCTTTCAGTTTCTCCTGAGTTTTCCTTTTACGACCACCTGTCTCCCTCGTACTAAATTATTCAAACGATAAACTTCCTTTTGTAAACAGTCTGCAATCATGATTTTTACGTTCTTTAATGGAACAGCAATAAATTACGATTAAAGTTTTTATTACCAACTAAAACCATACGGTTTTTTTTCTCAATATTCAGTGCTTCTCCATCCGGAATCTCTCTTACACTACTATAAATTAACACGATCAGTTGCGCCAAAACACACCCCAACCCCTCCTGCTGCTGCTTGTTTCTAATTTGTCTTGTATTTATTGTTTTCTTCTGTAGGTGTTTTCTATTTAAATTCTCGCCGAGCGATCGACAGAGTTATATTTATTCGTGAGAGTAAAATACTTATATACCATGCGTTACAAAATCCTGCTAATCAGAATATAGCAAAGAGGGGGTACGTTTCTAAAAAAACTGTGGTGCTGCATCAGTGGGATATTACAAAATAATTACTGCTTAAATACTGCTAATTAGAATGAAGGAAAGAGGGTAAGTTTCTCAAGAGACTGTGGTGTTGCATCAGTAAGGGAAGTTACAAGATAATTTGGTTTCATGAACTGAGTTCATAATGCAACTTGGTTACCGTGGAGAGTTTTAAGAATGGAATGGAGGAAAGGCTTTTAATTTTCGCCAGTGTTGTACCCAACCTTCCAATCGTACGCTGCACTTTTGCTCCGCTGAAATTTAGGAAGAGGTGCTACTTCTCGTTTCGTTCATACGTTTTCTTTTGATATTTGCAGTTTGCACGAGTTTTTTTGTTCATAAACGTTCAGAAGTTTTAAAAGTGTTGCCATGACGGTCCAGTGACCAACTAGTCTGTTGAAAGCCATTGAAAATGAAGTCGTCACGCAACACTTTCATTTTCTCTCCGCTGTGCATTTTGGGTTTATTAGAGCGCTTACTCTGTTTACGAGACGTTGGGAACACATGAGGAAAATTTGTAAATCACAAGCCGCTGGCGAGTGATTTACAGACTTCTTGATAGAAGGTACGGTCTAACGCTTTTATGAAATAAACCTCAATTCTCTGTGGATTTACCGGTGCAATGATTGATAGGTTTTTGACCAATCAGGGCGCTTGTAGAATCAAACAAAGTATTTTGTCTGGTTACGGTAACTTCCACAAAACTTAAAGTTATTTTCTTTGCACTTTCCTCAAATTTAGAGTCAGATTTCAAAGAGACTCAGTATTGTTATCACATTCAAAAGTTTATCACCGTCATACATAGATAGGAAGACAAAGAAAAAATGATAATTCATGATAACACGCAACCCGAGATATTCCATACTGATACCAGTAAGAGAGCAGTGTAACAGTACATTCACAAATCCAGCATTGTGCCTCACAATTTCCAAAACTTCTGTCATATTCTGTGCGAACTCTCCAACTATATTTTCATGCAACCATTTTCGGCCACTTATCCCTTCAACACACTTTAACCCTAATTTTTCCCTTCCAGACTTAGTTTCAATTCTCTCTTCTTTCCTGGTGCTGGAGAAAGTACAATATCGTTGTCGGTTCCAGTTAGGAACTTTTGTGCACTACAGTGGGTCACATTGAGTCACATCTGGTTTAAGTCTGTTGGTTGCTGTTACAAACGAAACTAAAGCACTGAATAGTATTCAAATTATATTAAGTGGCGTGGAGAGGGGGAATTTTCCTACCCTTGATGAAACATACCCTTTTAATACACGAGCATAGCTTTTTGTCAGATACACCCAGAAATCTAAACAGGACTTTGCCCAGCTATGAATTCAAAGCCCGGCCTCTTATAAGGTTGTTGTGTTACAGAAAGGACTGGATTCTTGAATGCTATTCGCAGTGCATAATGCTTAATAGAAAGATGCAGGTATTGCACAATCATTACATTGGAAAAAGGGATGGGCAAGGGAGGCGCACTTTAAAAGAACAAGGATACCGCTTTCCGTCTTTCATTGTAAATCCATTCTGTTCATTCAAAAACTTTCTTCTCCCCTTTAAACAATGCAGTACAATATCGTTTTAGGTTCCAGTAAGGAACTTTCGTGCACTACAGTGGGTCTGGTTCAAGTCTGTTGGTTGCTTGTAATAAGTGGTGTGGAAAGGGCGTGTTTTCCTACCCTTGGTGAAATATACCCTTCAACACACAAGCATAGCTTTTTGTCAGATACACCCAGAGATCTAAACAGGACTTTGCCCAGTTATGAACTCATAGCCTGGCCTCTTCTAAGGTTGATGTATTACAGAAAGGACTGGATTCTTGCATGCTATTCACAGTGCTTAATAGAAAGATACAGGAACTACACAATCATTACATTGGGAAAAAATAGACTTTTGATCCATTTCGTATTGAAAATAACCAATCAAATATATCAACGTTCTAAGCATTAAAGTCTACTTTATTCATAAACAAAGCACCAAGCATAGTAAGCTGTATAGGCAATACAGTCAAATAATAAACATTTGCTAGCAAAGTGGAGGGGAACAGGGGCATGGACATTACATGAGGTAATAAAACAGGATGTCATCTCAAAAAGAGAAACAAACAAGCAAAAGAGAAGAAAGGACATAAAATGAGAGATAGGTAACAAGAAATAATGTTTTCAATGCAAAAATTGGCAAAACATCATATTAAAAGGTGGGAGCCTGGAATGGCAAAGGTGAAAAAGAAAGAAATTCACCTCCACAGCAGAACTTTACTATATCCAGGAAGTAAACAAGTTTACAAATGGAATTAGTATGCCTTAAAACACTTAACTTAGCTACATGTAATCTAGAATAAGAGACATATTTAAACTTTAAGCATCTATACTAATATATATTTTGATGAGGAAAAAATGGCTTTGAATCATGTTGATTGCTCTTTTTATTCCACTCATTCCAGGGCAAGCAGCTCTACATCAAATATCAAGACAGCATTTGGAGGGATAGTGTAAATGGTTAAGGAAAAGACTCAGAGTTGTACTATAATAATAATAATTTACAATAATAATGATTTACTATAATAATTATTAAAAATTTCACTTGTCGTAGTAAAAAGAAGACCACAATTGGCCCCTGAATGACATTTCGGCAAACTTTTCCTTAAAGCTGAGGAATGTTGGGTAGATAGTTTGAACTTTATAGATAGTACCTTAAAAACTTCTCACAGCCAATTTCTTTGCCTTCATAAAACAGGAAACAAAAGGAGAGCAAATGCGATGACAAGTGTCAATTTTGAGGTCCTTATAGTTTTCCAAATGATCAGTAAGCTCCACACTTTCTCGATTGAAAATGAAGAGCAAAACCTGAAGAGAGCACCAAACTCAAGGAGGAGACCCTGGGGAATACCTCCTGCTTTTACTTTGGTGTTCCCATTGTCAAAAATTTCCATCTTCCGCTCCCCTTAAGCAGCAATATCAAAAACGTAAAAAAGGATATACACCAGGGACCCCTCTGCCTCCATACCCAAAGTCTGGAGAACAAGTGAGCTTTGCTCGTTGACCTACGCACATCTGTAACAAAAGAAATGAACTTTAGCTGGATTTATCTCTTGGTAGGTTCAGACTTTAGTACCTAGAGATTTGTGTAATCCATAGTCAAAACAACTGATGCCCATCACTATTATGCATGCCTCATCATTTGCAATTTGAATAGAGTCAAAATTCTGTCTATTTACCGCATAGTGACAGAAATAAAATAATGTTTTGATTTCTGTGAGATATCTACCAAAATAATTATCACCTCAGTGTGGGAGAAAGTGGTAGATATTTAAGTGGCTGCTTTGTAGCTTGGTAAATATCTATTATCATTCACCTCCACTTAATGAATAACTGTTCGATAAAATAATTATTTACAAGTATATATAATTACAGAACAAGCTAATTTAACAAAACTAATACTAAAAGTAACAATTTTTTAAGCTGTCAAAAAGTGCTCTATCTGAGAGCAATCTTATTGTGAATAAATATTATTTGTTAATTATTCATTAACATGTAAAAACAATCAATCAATCAATAAATAAATCAATAAATCGCCAAATTCATGTTTTATTATAGAAATAACTTATTGCCTCCATTGCTTCTCAATCTTTTTGTAATGAATAGCCAAATTCACAACTATGGTACCAGAACAGCCAGTAATTATCGAACACATTAAATTTTGTGCCGTACAAATCTCAAGCAATTTACAATTCTTTACCAAGGTCCTATAATTTGGAACTCTCTTCCTGTTTCAGTCACTCGTTCTTCAAACCTTCTTAGTTTTAAGACAAAAATGCAAGAGTTTTTAATTAAATTTTCCTTGAATTGGCCTAGCCGCACATTCGCAGCACTTTATCTTTACTTTATTTATTAATGCAAGTGAGGTGGCTCTCCCATAAGCCCGGTGGCTTCCTGGGTCTCCTCGCCTTCTAGCTATAACCGCTGTAAATAAATTTTTTGTATTGTGTAAATAAGGCAAATTAAAAAAATATGATGATGAATATTACCTGAGCTACTCCTTCATCCCAACCTAAAAGATGTCAAGAAACATGCATATTAAACAATAATAAGCAAAAAAGAATCCTAACTTGCAGATGCTAAGGGAAAGTGTTAAGAGCTCTGCCAAACATTGTGTCTTTGCAGGAATGCTATGAACCAAAAACAGTTTGACCTTTCCTTCAAAAAAAAAAAAAAAAGGGAGAGAGAAAAAATAAAACACGATTGAAACAAGGACTGGAAAAAAAACCCAAAAAACTGGTCAGTGACCAGGATTTTAATAGAGATTGGGGGGATGGGGAGAACATTCAATTATGAATGAACATCGCAAGGAACTGCACCTGATACCTCTTATTAACCTTGTTTTTATGATTTGCACTGTAAGTTACAGCCAAGTTTTTTCTGCTCAGATTTATGACCCAAGAGTGAAATGGGAAAACATTCAATTATGAATGAACATCTCAAGGACCTGCAGCAATAAATACCTCTTATTAACCCTTTTTTTATGATTTGCACTGTAAGTTACAGCTAAGTTTTTGTCTGCTCAGATTTATGACTTAAGATTGAAATGCCCTTGCCATAAATTGAAGTGGTGCAATAACTTACATAATTGTATTGCTAACAGTGCAATATGATGCAAACCCTCTGATCTGATTGGCTACCTGAGCGGGCAAGATGGGCCCATCTTGCCTGCTTGAGTTTCCTACTTTAATCCCACATAAGAAAAAAAATTGCAGGGAGCACACTTACAAAGTTCAAAATATTTGGACAATGTTGGCAACAGAGTTGCAAAAAAGCAGCAGAAGAATGTCAAAACAAAGAAAACAAACACAGCTGGCTTTCTTCACCAGCTTTTGAAATAATCAAGTCATTCTTGATTCTTATTTGGTTGTGAAAATTTCAGAAAAAATGAATAAATATTAGGTACGTAATGGCATCCTGTGCCATATGGCACTCTTGGGCAGTAAATAAACCAAAATATTTCACTATATACTAAATCCTTTATTGACCAATCTTGTTCTGTCAAGATGGCTGGATAGTAGCCTTGTTCCTTTCCTGCATTTATATGGACCTCGACTTTGTCTCACTCCATAAAAATGCCAAAAGAGAACTAGGCAATATCAAGCCTTATTGTATTCATGCTTGATCAATAACACATATGTATGGACGGTAAAAAGGAGGTTAGTAACAAAGATATTTATGATATCTGCAGGTTCAATAGTAAAAGGGAAGAATGACTGAGGGAATGCTTATATGTGTGACTGCTGTTTCATATGGGTAACTATTTAACACAGGTTTCATCCTAGCTGTTTCCCCAATTATTCGCTCCAGAACAAATGTCCGTCCGTAAAAAACAACCAGAGCGTTTTTTTGGTTGTTGCTGATCTCTGATAAACTCAAAAATCTTAAGTTTTAATTCTAACCAATCTTTAATTAAAATAGAATCTTTAGGTCCTCATAAGAATACTTGATAATCCCAGCTGCTTTCCTCTCATTCCCTCACTCAAATTTAAGCCTCCCCTTCGGTGGAAATGTTTACGTTCCCTACCACCTTTCCTTCAGTGGAAAAGGGTTTTATTCGACAAGCTGCAGGGAGACTCTGGCACGCAGACAAAAGTGTACAAAAAGCTAACAAATTTAAATACACAACATTAAATATACACTGGTAGGTAACTAGATTACGCCGAGGCTCACCTCTTCCTGTTTAATTGACAGGCCGATTATTCGATGTAATAATTTACCACTGATGAACCCGGTAAAATTGCCGTGCTCTTGCAAACTCTTACGTTAAAGGAAGGAAAAAACCTAATTCTTCGAAAACGCAAACAAAAAAGAGTTGCAAATACCGCCATTATATAGACCTTATCAAAAGAGACCAATACAAGACTTGAAATACCAATGGTAGTCGGGAGTCACGATCGAAGATTAAGTCATGAAAATAGTTTTTGATTAAAAAATTACCTCTAATCACTTCGCCTGCTCCAATCTTGAACTTGAAAGGTCTGCCCTTGTCTCGTGAGGAATCAAACTTTTTGCCGTTTTCTAACGTCCCTGTGGTAACAAAGTTGCCAGATTTTGTCAAGTAATTCTTCAACTGAAAAGCTGTGAGAATTACAAATATTCAGACATCGACAAACCTACCGGTGTAGTGTACCACCACAGTTTGGCCTCTCGTTGGAGTTCCTGGAAGAAGAATATAAATAAGCTCCCTACACAAGACTGGTATACACTAGAGCATGGCGAGATACCTCCATCTCCCTGTTTAATAACCTCCACTTCCACTCCCATGATACGAAATGGTTCCAATTGCAACTAACTGCACTCTTCTCGTCTTCTTTACTTACCACGTGACAGCTTTTGCACTCAGGAGGGAATGATCTTGTTAGCTTACCTACCCCCACTCCCTAGTTGATTTCTCACCTTTTCAGTCTGCATCTAATCAAGAGGCCTATTTCTTAAAAAATATCCAATTTATCTTTATTAACTCTTCCTGGTTACATTTTTTCTCACCATTTTGATCAATTTCAGCATATTTACGACAATCTACAATTTGCTCTTGCGAAAGCTTCACTAACTCCTCTCCTAGACAGTAGTTTGGTTTCTTTGTTTGTTTTGTTTCAGTCCAAGGTTCTTTCCAGCTACACAGTGGTGCAAAAACGAACGAAACAGCTTTGAAATTGAACAAGTTTTGTCCTATGCTATAAATAAGATTGTATATTAGAAGGCTTATCGTCTCTTAAAGTTACAAACACCATATGTTTGGTCAGCATTATCGGAAATAAATTCATCGATAAAGCCACTTTAAGCCGCCGTGGACGTGGTAGCATCGATATCATTTCGTCTTCATCCTGAATTCAATAGTCGGTAAAATAACGAAGGTAGGTGTGTTCCTCAGTTACAAGGAGTATTTCTACGAATTTCGTTCTCACTGCTTATTAATTTACTGATGTGTACGTTTTAGTCAGACTTGTCCAACAACAAAGTCAGTTTCATATCCATTTATGACGTGATGGATCCTCTAAGAACACGCTTCGTTTTTAAACAATTCATGCGCGCCTGAGTTTATAATCGACTTATTCCTTGGTTATAATTTCATTTTAAGACTTCTTGTCATTCAATTTGAAACTAGTTGAAGCCGTAGATTTATATATCATTTGAAGCTTATTGAATTAATACGCCAAAATACTCTTTCAAGCAACATGGCGCGTGTTCAAATGTTTTGACAGGCAGGCAGGCCACATGTTATGATTGTTGGCTGTCGTGGCCAAAGAAACAGTCGGTTAGAAGTCTGTTTTCCCAATGGAAATGTATTGTTTTTGTCATTGTTTTCTCTGTTCAAGAACTGAATTTTTTGTACGGAAATTTTTCCGATCTACCCGCTTTTTCATTGCCATCGGGTAGTTATTGAACAGCTGTATAATCACTGGTTATCTACCTGAGCAGCCATGTTACCTCTTGTTCATTACATTTGTATATTTACAAGGCCACTTTGACTTATAGAATTAATATTTTAACCCTTACACTCTAATATCAATATATAAGATCTCCATAATTTTCTACACTTATCTCCCATGTTACCTGCAAGGAGAATTTCTTTAACAATCAAGAGTTCTTCAGTTTGTGATTCTTTCCTTTATTCTCATGACCTGCACTGTTTGATTCAGAGATGATGGTGTTGAGAAAAATAAAATACTTATCACTCTTAAGGGTGAAAGGGTTTTAAACTAACTTTTCAAACCATGCTTTGCTGTCAAATTGTGGCCCTTTATCAATTTGCACAGCTCACTATTACAAGTATGTTGATTGACTCATTTTTTTTTTCAGGAATATTGCAATTAAAGGAAGGAAGATCATCTAATGAATTGCTAGATCTTTTGTGAAGGACCTAGCCTCAGAGGAGCTGGTTTTAAAATATCCATTTATCATGGGTGGTGCAGTTAGTTCAGGACAAGACAATGATGAGTTGATTGACAACTTAAAAGAAGCTAACTACATCAAATCGCCAGAGGTGGAACATGTCCTCCGTGTGATAGATAGAGCGGACTATTTTCCAGAGGGAACTAAGCAACATGCATACAAAGATTTGGCCTGGAAGAGTGGTAATGTTCATTTGTCAGCTCCTTGTATTTACTCTCAAGTTCTAGAATCTCTTGAATTAAAAGAAGGATTATCATTTTTGAACCTGGGTAGTGGAACAGGCTACCTGTCCACCATGATCGGATTGATTATTGGTGCCAATGGAGTCAATCATGGGGTTGAATTATATGGTGACGTTGTTGAGTTTGCTGAGACGAAACTCAAAGAATTTTTGCGGACTAATCCAGTATACCAAGGAACCAACTTTTGTGAGCCAGTGTTTATTGTTGGCAATTGTTTGTGGTTAAATGCACACTATAGACAGTATGATCGTGTGTATTGTGGAGCTGCCTGCCCTCCTGAATATGTAGAGTATATGAAGTCATTAGTGAAAATTGGTGGAATTTTGGTCATGCCCTTCAATGAGAAGGTGAGAAAATTAAAATTTTTTCAATGAATTATGTACAGCACACATTTCTCACGACACCAAAGATTTCAACCCTCCCACCTTGGACAGAGACTTCCTGATTATATCTGACTTGCTCAGTATTCTCCCCATTTTTGTAACTTTCCTCTGTCATAGTAAAGTGAAAGTTTTTTAATGCTTAATTCAGCATTTTACAATGCTTTCTGCTTATCCTGTGGTATCACCATTTTTCTAGCTCAAGTCAGCAGTTTTCTGAGGGTGATATTGTTCTTTTCTAATCCTTTAACTCCTATGAATGACTTGACCTTTATATATCAATACAATGGAATTTAAAGCATGCTTATGTCTCTCAAAAGCAGGAAACTGCTAATAATTTTTTAGGTATCACTGCTAATAATTTTTTAGAATAAAACTGTGTATGTTTACGGCATTTGTAAACCCAAAATCTCCCATTTTTTATTTGTAAGGGTTGAAATCACTGTGTTGTGGGTACAAGAAGTTGCAGGTTGAACCTGGATAGATATTATGTAACAACTTTAAGCCAACCCTGAATGTGTATTTAGTGAATCTTCTTCAGGAATGATCCTCCAGAACTTTCCTTTCTATGAGAAAAAAGGGGAAATAGTTGATTTTTAGGCTTCTACTTAAATCATTTATCATTACCAGTCAATTGCTCGCATCTCAATCAAAGAATGTATTGTGCTAAACTATAATTGTAATCACAAGGACTTGTCTCCAATGAAAAGCGAGGGTAAACATTTACATTTATTTTAAAATTTTGGACTGCACATGTCAAATCCATATTGAAGCAATTCCAATAAAGTGACATCCCTGAGAGATGCAATAAGAAAAGGCCTGCAAAATCTGAAATTAGCAAAGATTGTTGCTCTTATTAAGAACTATTTAAAGAACTTTTTGCACATACTGTTGAATACTGTTACCACCCACCCCTTGAAAAACCTTTCTTAGGCCTGTTAACCTTTTATGACTGATCATCAGAATGCATATTCTCCATACAGCTGTTCTCTATACATTTTTTAAGGTGCTGACAAGTTTTGTAATTGACAGTATGTAAGCAGATAAATTTAAAATGTTTTTACTCATAGCACTATTTTCATTCTGTCAACTGAAGGCTTCCTAACAATCAAGTCATGCTTTTTAGTAATTTTGCAATTTTACTTTGGTCATGAATGCAGCTATTCAGAATGCGTCGAACTGGTGACACTGAATGGGACATTGAGGGGCTACTACCAGTGTCTTTTGCACCACTGATAAACTGCAAGGAAGAAAAGAAGGAATTTCCTCAGTTTATTGAAATACGTAAGTGTACTACCTGAAATCCAAACTTAAATCATCTGCATCAGCTCCTTAATTTTACAATGGACTTAACCCTTTACATCCTAATGTTTGCTTTTTATATTCTTTATACTGTCGTCTTTACACTTCCTATCATACTGGCTGATCATCAGAAGCTCCTAAATCAGTGATCATTTCTCTTTTCCCTGAATGGTTATATTTGATTCAAGGGTGATTAACTGTAACTTATCTCTAGATCTGATTGTTAATTCTCCCCTCTAGCTGCCACACATTTTTTTGTAAATTGCATACAAGAATTTAGTGTTCAATCGAGACAATTATGTCATACCTGATAAGTTTGAGTATTCCCACTACCTGATTGCTGGATAATGTATGGATATTATAAGTAGAAGTTACATGTTAATCACCTCTGGAAGTTAAAGGGTTAATCAGAAGTAAAAAGGATGAACCTGTAGCAAATTAGACAATTACTTGCATTTTCTCACAACATAATACCAAAAAAGGATGACTTGACCCTTGCCTGGCTCTTCTCCAATATTCATTACTATAACAGATAGCAAACTACATGAAATATATTTGTCTGCTAAACAAGTCTAGACTTGTGTTATGTGAAGTTCAACAACAGACCTAGGAGGTGGGGGTGGGATGTGCACCCACCCTACCCTGATTTTAGCTTTTTTTGTATTAATGATAATAGTGCTCCTAATGGACACAAACACAGAAAAAAAGTCAAGGGGCCACAAAATGGTTCCCTTACTATCCCAAAGTCTGGATCTGCATTGTAGTTTGTGAATAATTACTAACTTCTGGAACTTGATTTCTTAGCCACACATCCAAGGTACCTCCAAGACCTCTGCAGACTTGTGATAAGGAGAACTCTTGGTCCGGATGGAGTAAAACAACTCTGTGATTTACCTCTTCCTCCTGCTCTTGTTATGTATCTGAACTACTTCCATGAATTGAGGCAAGAATAAACAAGTTGTCTGATGTAATTTCTCTCTATGCTTTCACTGGGGAAGATGAGAATAAAAGCATGATCTGCAAGGGCTCTACAGGTGAAAGTAATGTCTCCATTCAGCGTTAATCCTAAGTGAGGTAACACCCTGTCAATATGTGAGAGTTCTCAAGACAAAGACTTTTGCTCAATTGTCATCTAGCAGACTGTGAAAGACTATTGATACACAGTAAAGCAAGTTATACTGTTACATGACTTACTTGGGTTTGGGGGAAAGACAGAATGGGGGTGGTGTTAATTGACCCTTTAACTCCTAAGATCTCACTAGTAATTCTCCTTACTATCTGCCAAATGATTTTCATTATGTTAGTTTGGAGACTTTGGTATCAGATCAATTAGTAATCTCATAACTGATATTTTTCTCTATTCTCATCACTTGTCTGCATGATTTTGTATAGATTTTGACATAGTGAGGAGAAATTCTGTCTCGGTCACTCACTGGAGTTAAAGAGTTAAGGACTCTTCAGGCTCTCGTTCTGGTCCTAGGGAATAGAAATCATAGAATGTGTTGTGTGGC